CGCAGAACAGATAGCTACTGACAGAGAGCGTCGCACATAACACGACCTACGTAGCTCCGGCGACGATCCCCGGGTATCTCAGAAAAACTGCACTTGTTAACTTGCCGCCGTGGAACGAGCATATGACCATCAGAGCTCGAGGCAAACGGTTATATCACCACACCACAGAGATTCTCGTAGCAGTCTTACTAAAGGTTTACAGTAATATATGTTTATTTCCAATAGAAGGCATGCATATCTGCAGCACACCACATATTCAACAACAGAGACATTTAACCCAAGTGTCCACGGCGTTGACGCGTGGCTCAGGTCTCCGTAACATAGCAGAGGAAGGGTGATAATGGTTTATTCTGGCATAAATATCTTGGCAAGACCATATTTTGTTATCTACATTTGGCCGTTGTCACTGGAAAGTTAGTCAACATAACAATCTGAGTTTTCTAGCGTCGTGTTTGCCAGCCAATATGTAAACATTGAGGCCGGGGAGTAGGGCTGGGGGTGGAGGCAGGGTTCTAATCGACAGGGACCCCAAATCTATGGGGATTACGCCATGTGAGGGCGCCCCCAACGCCCACCACAGTCACTGTTTATTAGGGGCTGAATGTAGGTAAGCTCAGTTAGGCGCAGAAAATATATTTCTACCATGAATTACAGTTTTAGTGAAAGTACAAACATGTATGATGCAGTGACTGGGGAAAGATGAGCACTTTAGTACCAAAGCCCTATTTTGGGCTTACGAAGAAGAAGAAGAAGAAGAAGAAGAAGAAGAAGAAGAAGAAAAAGAAGAAGAAGAAGGAGAAGAAGAAGAAAAAGAAGAAGAAGAAGAAGAAGAAGAAGAAGAAGAAGAAGAAGAAGAAGAAGAAGAAGAAGAAAAAGAAAAAGAAGAAGAAGAAGAAGAAGAAGAAGAAGAAGAAGAAGAAGAAGAAGAAGAAGAAGAAGAAGAAGAAGAAGAAGAAGAAGAAGAAGAAGAAGAAGAAGATAAAGAAGACGAGGAGGAGGGAAAAGACGTCGCTGATTGAAAAAAAAAAGAAAAACGGAAAAAAACCTGAGGAGGATCCCGCCCCCCCCCCCCCCACAAATAAGATACCTTTTTTTAATATAATAGGTATGTATTACACAATTTAAAGATCTTTTATAAAACAGCAGAACACACGTTTTCTTAATACTGTTTCTTTATATAAATACTCACAAAAGTATAGACAACAAAATATGAGCACAAACACCAATACATGTGTGAGCAATTTTCGAATATATAAAAGTCAACACAAGTACATTTCCCCACACGTTGGGTATATAAAAGTCAACACAAGTACATGACACAAGGACATGGCATTTTCCTGCTCTTATAGTATGTAAAAGTCATCTCAAGTGCAGACAACGTCCCCTTCAGTTTGGATAATGGGGCTATACGAGAGACAACACACCCTGAAGATCTCAAACATGGGGATACTTGTTTTCTCTCTCTCTCTCTCTCTCTCTCTCTCTCTCTCTCTCTCTCTCTCTCTCTCTCTCTGGCCTTGATGGGAAGTTTTGCAAATCTGTGAAGGACATCATCAAAACCACAACAGCACAGAGTAGCTGTCCCAATGTAAACACATCAAAAAGCCTGCTTGGGAGAAGATGGGTGTAATGATGGAGCAAAATGCAGTAACGATGATTCTGATATAAGCAATGAACCGAAGTGCACGTACCTTCCGCCTTGCGCCATAAATGTAATTTTACTCGTGTGAATTGAAACACATAAATATTTCTCTAAAAAAATACCAACAAAAGCGTGCACATATGAGTTCGTAGGGAATAATAAAAATGTCTTATCCGGCTTAAAATTGCAAAAAAGTTGAAAGTTTTAATGAAATTGTTTGCTTGCACAGCTCATAAAATTCGTTCAAAACATGTCCGCTGAAATATCTACTAAATAACCATCTTGTAGTCTGTTTTCATGACTTGGAGGATAGATATATGGCCTTGAACTCTGAAATAATAAGAAATGTCAAAGGTTAAAGTATTGGTATGGGTGCGTTGTGTGTGTGTGTGTGTGTGTGTGTGTGTGTGTGTGCGTTCGCGCGTGTGTGTGTATGTGTGTGTGTGTGTGTGTGTGTGTGTGTGTTCCTAGTATGGCAGCTATAACATTCGGTTTTGATGTTCTCCAATGTGTCGTCCTATATTTGTTCTTTGAGTGCCAAGCAATACGGGTTAATGTGTTTGTTATTATGTTTCCAGGATCTTAAGGAAATCAGGGAGGCAATTAATTAATCAGCAAACTAAAAGGTAGCAGGTGGTCAAGACAGCAGATGAGGTAACCATAAACTGAGTGAAAGATTTGATCAATAGAATATGGACAGTGCAAAAAATTCTAGATTGAAAAAAAGGAATCATTGTTAAAATTCCAGAGAAAGGTAATTTTGGTGACTGTAACAACTGGAGAGGAATTAGGAATTACTTTGTTATCAGTAATCTAAAAGTCGTTCTGGAAAAAAACTCAATAGATTTAAAAGAAAGTAGGGTACACGATGTCCGTGGCGTGGGCGTTGCGAGTCCGACTCGTAATTCCAACGTACCGCGGTCGAAACCCACTGCGGTTTTTTATCATGGTGTGGGGCGTCGCAAGTCGACCCAGCCTAAAATGGGTAGCAGGATGAATGTCCTGGGAAAGTAAAGACGGCCGGCGTAATGCTGAAAACATTACCCACCTAGTGCCGATTGGTCTGTAAAAACATGGGTGCTCTTCCCGTATGCCCGATGCGCCAAAAAAGTGAAAAGGGATCTTTACTTTTTTTAAACTTTACTTAGGGAACACGATCCTGGGAGAGCAACAAGCAGGTCTTAGACCTGGAAGAAGCTGCTTGGATCAAATATTCTCTCTGAGACTTATTACTGGGGAATTTATTTTGAATTTAATTAACGTTTACAAGGTTTTTGATAGTTTACATAGAACATCACTGCGGGAATCTTAAATGCGAAGGAGTACCAATGAAAATAATAAATATTACTACGGTTATGTATGAAGGTTCAGAATGTGCAGTGCGAACAGATGATTGTTTAAGTGAATAGTTTAAAGTTGATACTGGAGTGAAACGAACACATTTTATCTCCTCTGTTATTTGGCATTTTCATTCAGCAAGGGATGATAAATATTGTGCTGGAAACATCGGCATTGACTGGGCGGAGAACACACTATTGGAAGTTCTTGATTTTGCTAATGAAATTGGTCTGGTTAGTGAAAACAGCAGTTACATGCAAAGATAAAAAACGGATGATTTAGCAACCATAGCATCAAGGATTGGATTAAAAATCAGTTATGAAAGCCACATATACTGAAGAGAAAAAAAAATAATAATAATGAGATGAGGTAGACAAGTCCAGCCCCAGCCTTAGTGGCCTCTTACGACATGCCTGTGTTGTGTTACTATTCTATGTTACTGGGAGCTAGTGAACAGTGCGGAAGCACAGATAGATCATTACGGTCTGAAGAGAACGGCTTCGCCCGGCTCTCTAGCGAAGTTGGGTAAACCTGACTTTCGCGGCGGCCGGGTGACGAACTCCTTGTGGTCCGGGTTCACTCCCGGGGGTAGGCAGAAAAGCCACATTTCTCCCAGATTAACGGTACCTATAATGGAATCAAGGCCGAAGGGTTGCGATATCCATAGTACCGAGCCAAAGGGTTTACAACTCATGGTTTCTGGATACGTTAAAAAAAAAAAAAGAAGAGAACGGCACTGCGAGAAGTTACCAGGGGACCTGACCGATGCTCAACACTCAAGGGAGAGGCGAGATGGGGACTGAGCACTTATGGGGGTGTCCCAAGTTCTATGATGAAGATTCTCAATTCAACATTTAACATTCTGTGTTACTGTTCCGTGCCTTCCCCAAGGTCACCGTTAACAAATAAAATGCGATAACTAGTAGCCGGATTTTATTTCCTGAACAATGTGTTTGGTGTGGATTAGCATCTCTTCGTTTTGGTTCCTATGCCTCCGTGGCGGTAGACGGGTGAGTGAGAGAGATCCAAGTGAGAAGCGAGTAACTAAGTCAGTCAGTCAGTCAGCCAGTCAGTCAGTCAATCAGTCAGTAGCATGTCCTTTGCAGAACCTTGCTCCCAAAACAACCCTCCGAAAAACTTCTCGATCACAAGCAAGATGTTCCGCGTCGACACACCCATCTGGAGATCATCCGCCACATCCTGCACCCATCTTCTCTTTGGTCTTCCTCTTTCTCTCTTCCCAGGCATATACTTTCGTGACGTTTCAGTTGACCAAAATATTTCAATTTTCTGTGTTATCGTCTTTGATAGCCACTTTCATAGCTGTTATGGTTTCTTGTCAAGTTTTGCAGAAGGTAGTTTGCCATTGCTTTCCTAACTAAAAAGTAGTTGTTGAAATGAAATTTGCTGGGCTCAAAGGCATATATACCACAGCGATCTATAAGCAACACTACAACGTGCCAACCATATTTTTAAAGTGAATACAGAAGAAAGAGAATCCGAATCCAGAAGGATTTGTACAACTGATCCTGGCTCCTAAGTCGATCTAGCTCAAACAGGTGTCGGGAAATACCCTGGCAAATACAGATTGTCTGAGAGATGTGGACCACTTCACCCGTCCACTACCGATTGGTATGTTCAAACATTTGTCAAACACAAGATGCATGACACGTGAATCACCACGAATAAAAGGTCGTTTTTGTATGTTGATGAATAGGATTTGTTTCTCTTGAACAAACACATCCTTAAACATGCATAGTTTGTGGCGATAGCCCTAGCAATTCGGACCTAAATCCTAAATTTTTGAAGCCTCTGTCCTACGTCTCATTAAATCCAGTCAGTAAAGACTGTTTGATAAACTTGTTCGACTTGTTATTAAAATACAGAAACGTAACTATGGCTGTAAAGCAACATATTATAAACAACATTTGTATTTCACATCCTTGAAAGTTGCTTCTTTCGGAAAATCAAAGCAATGTTTCCTCTTTATAAATATGAACAAAGAAGACACAGACAATACACAGTTACCTGAATAATCCACTTTGCCATCCTTGTTTAGATCTGCCTCCCTAATCATTTCCTGAGCTTCAGACTGTTAGACAGAAATGTAGAGAGACTGTTAGACAGATAGTAGAGAGACTGTTAGACAGATATGTAGAGAGACTGTTAGACAGATATGTAGAGAGACTGTTAGATATGTAGAGAGACTGTTAGACAGATATGTGGAGAGACTGTTAGATATGTAGAGAGACTGTTAGATATGTAGAGAGACTGTTAGACAGATAATAGAGAGACTGTTAGACAGATATGTAGAGAGACTGTTAGACAGATATGTAGAGAGACTGTTAGATATGTAGAGAGACTGTTAGACAGATATGTGGAGAGACTGTTAGACAGATTTGTAGAGAGACTGTTAGATATGTGGAGAGACTGTTAGACAGATAGTAGAGAGACTGTTAGACAGATATGTAGAGAGACTGTTAGATATGTAGAGAGACTGTTAGACAGATATGTGGAGAGACTGTTAGACAGATTTGTAGAGAGACTGTTAGATATGTGGAGAGACTGTTAGACAGATAGTAGAGAGACTGTTAGACAGATATGTAGAGAGACTGTTAGACAGATATGTAGAGAGACTGTTAGACAGATATGTAGAGAGACTGTTAGACAGATATGTAGAGAGACTGTTAGACAGATAGTAGAGAGACTGTTAGACAGATATGTAGAGAGACTGTTAGACAGATATGTGGAGAGACTGTAAGACAGATATGTTGAGAGACTGTTAGATAGTAGAGAGACTGTTAGACAGATATGTAGAGAGACTGTTAGACAGATATGTAGAGAAACTGTTATATGGATTATTTCGTAACAGATGGGATCCCTAGTATAACCTACAGCAGAACGAGGCTTTATGGAATTTGAACATGTAGCAAGAGCTCCTGTGAGCACGCCAGGGGATTTCCATAAAAACAGTGCTGATAAACCATGCCCTTCTGGAGCTATTTATAAATAGAGTCAGCCTTGAGATAAACTGAGCCTGGTACCCCGGGGGGGGGGGGGGTGGGAGGGGGGTACACGGCCTTCTGAGAGCGAGACAAACAGTTTGACCACTTCACTAAGGAGAACCCAGTTATTTTATATTATTGAAATAGAGTGGCTGTAATATAGTGTGTACATAATATATAAAGAAGAGGAGAAATACTGACACATTGAAAGATGTGAACATCAAGGAAGATTGGCTAATACACAGCATCCTGTCTCGGAAGCTGAAATATTTTGGTCACATCAAGCGCCACGACGGATTGGAAAAAAAATTATAGCAGAAGTCATGGTACCAGGAAGGAGGGGCAGGGGCCGAGCGACACGAAGATTGGCACAGGAAATAAGTGTCTCCTTGAGTGTGAAAGTTCATGAGGCGGGAGAACTGGCGAGAGACCAAGTTTCTTTCAGGCAGACTGTGATGAGAGCGACGTACTGCAAAGAACCTGCAACATGATGATGATGACGATGACGTAATACATTGTTTAAAAACAAAAATAGCTTACAGTTATCCGACGGCGGCTTTTTATTAGTTGACGGGAAGGCCCTCATACCTAAAAACTATCTTAACTCAGGTGTAAAAGAACTGTCAGTTGACTGGTTGAACTCTAGGGTATTCTCGTTTGTAGTTTTAACAGAAACAAAATCTTCCTTCTGCACGTAAAGGGCTTATAAGTGTACATATGTACAAAACATTGAGCCTGTGCATTCAAAAATGGTAGCTTTAGACTATTACTGAGAAATCAGATATGACCGCTATTTATCTTGGTTTCCATAACAACTATCAAGTACAAAGTCAGTTTGACAGTATTTTATTGATCAACGGTCTTCAGTATAAAACCATTTACCATATCAGAAAATAGATAATAAATAGTATATAATTTAGTTTTATGAGCTTAGCAACGCCTTAATTAAATCACACAGGTTCGGAATGCCAAAATTAATACACAATTCTATTCCTGTCTATTTCTGTGCGTATGTTTTGTCTTCAAGCCGGGGTAAAAGGAAATGAAAGAGCTGAAAGACTGGCAGGTCTGTAGTGGTTGGTGGAGGAAGAAGTGCATGCAAGGCAGACATAATGAATGCGCTGCAAAGACTTTGAGACAAAGGAGTCAGAGGCAGTGAACCACCTGTTGGAGATGGGTGTCAAACGAGAACAAGCGTACAGAAACTGGTTACGGGGTGAAGAAAAACGATTTGCCAGTAAACTCCTGCTGGGTACGTAGAGCAGGCAAAGACTGTATTGGATGGAGTTCGGAGCACGAATAGGTCTGTGCTAAGATGTCGATACAGACAACAAACAAGCAAGCAACTGTTTTGTTTTTACTCGTTGTTGTGCTAATGACAGTTTTTCGCCGCAGCGTACTCTGTTTATTCATTGTAATTGGTTTAGAAAAGGTGACAAACGTTTTATATTATTCTTACCCTTTTGGACACTATCTAAAACTAAGATATGCAAAATCACCACCTGCGAGATGAGATGCCTGAGAAAAGCAGCCAACCTAACCATCCATGATCAAGTGAATAATGAAACTATAAGACAAGTTGTGGGAACAACACCTTGTACCAGATTCATCGAGAAACAGCAGATCAAGTGGTTTGGCCATCTCGTTAGAAAGCAGCAAGATCAAATATCATCTCAAGCACTACATCTCAGAAGATCAACTACAAGAGCAAGAGGACGGCCGCGGAAAACATGGATCGACAACATTAAAGACACTTTACGCTTTCAAGACATTACAATACCAGTAGCAGCCAACGTGCACTAGATCGCAAATTATTCATCCCCACGACGCTTAATGGCAGAAGTGGTTTATGATGATGATGATTCTAACCCTTTTCTTTCTCTTCTCTTCCTATATTTTCCCATCTACTTAGACGTTATTTCATAAGAAACACCACAATTATTACCAGAGTAATTTTTTCCCCGAGCTGTGCTAAAACATTGAAGAGTTCCTCGGCGCCGATGAAGCCGTCGTGGTTAGCGTCGAACGCCTTGAAGACTTCCCTGAGCTCGGATTCCGGGTCCATGGTCACCTTTCTGGCAAATATGTCCACAAACTCGTCAAAGTCGATGGTACCACTTCCTAGGATTAGAAATAAAAGAATATATATATATATATATTATTTCAAGTACTCTCTGTCTGTAGCTTTATTATTTCAACTACTCTCTGTCTGTAGCTGTATTATTTCAAGTACTAACTGTCTATAGCTGTATTATTTCAAGTACTCTCTGTCTGTAGCTGTATTATTTCAAGTACTAACTGTCTGTAGCTGTATTATTTCAAGTACTAACTGTCTATAGCTGTATTATTTCAAGTACTCTCTGTCTGTAGCTGTATTATTTCAAGTACTCTCTGTCTGTAGCTGTATTATTTCAAGTACTCTCTGTATGTAGCTGCATTATTTCAGGTACTCTCTGTCTGAAACTTTATTATTTCAAGTACTCACTGTCTGTAGTTTTATTATTTTAAGTACTCACTGTCTGTAGTTTTATTATTTTAAGTACTCACTGTCTGTAGTTTTATTATTTTAACTACTCACTGTCTATAGTTTTATTATTTTAAGTACTCAATGTCTGTAGTTTTATTATTTTAAGTACTCAATGTCTGTAGCTGTATTATTTCAAGTACTCACTGTCTGTAGTTTTATTATTTTAAGTACTCATTGTCTGTAGTTTTATTATTTCAAGTACTCACTGTCTGTAGTTTTATTATTTTAAGTACTCCCTGTCTGTAGCTGTATTATTTCAAGTACTCACTGTCTGTAGTTTTATTATTTTAAGTGCTCTCTGTCTGTAGCTGTATTATTTCAAGTACTCACTGTCTGTAGTTTTATTATTTTAAGTACTCTCTGTCTGTAGCTGTATTATTTCAAGTACTCACTGTCTATATCTTAATTATTTCAAGTACTCACTGTCTGTAGCTTTAGTATTTCAAGTACTCACTGTCTGTATCCACGGCTCGTATAAAGTTCTTGATCTCGTGGATGGACGGCCTCTGTCCCAGGGACACCATCACAGAGCCCAGCTCATCAGACGTGATCATCCCGTCACCGTTTTTGTCAAACATGTGAAAGGCGTCCCTGATCTCTGTGAAATACGTCATTAAAGTCTAGTAAACACGATTCGTTTTCATATGTATATCATGTTCGTCAAATACTACAGCTACCACTGCTGCTGCTGCTACTGATGCTGTTGATACTACAACTACTACCACCATTACCACCATCACCACGACTACTACTACTACCATCATCACTACTACTGCTGCCACTACTACTACCACCACCACTACTACTACTACTATCACCACCACTACTATTGCTATCACTACTGGTACTACCAACACCACTATTACCACCACCACCACTACTACTACCATCACCACTACTACTGCTGTCACTACTACTACCACCACCATTACTACTGCTGCCACTACTACTACCACCACCACCACTACTACCACCACGACTACTACTGCTACCACTACTGGTACTACCAAAACCACTACTACCACCATCACCACTACTACTACCATCACCACTACTACTGCTGTCACTACTACTACCACCACCATTACTACTGCTGCCACTACTACTACCACCACCACTACTACTACCACCACGACTACTACTGCTACCACTACTGGTACTACCAACACCACTACTACCACCACCACCACTACTACTACCATCACCACTACTACTGCTGTCACTACTACTACCACCACCATTACTACTGCTGCCACTACTACTATCACCACCACCACTACTTTTCTTCTTCTCCTCCTCCTCCTGCTGCTGCTGCTGCTGCTGCTTCTTCTTCTTCTTTTTCTACTTCTCCTCTTCCTTCTTCTCCTCCTACTTCTCCTCCTTCTTCTTTTCTTCTTCTTTTTCATCTTCTTCTTGTTCTTCTTCTGCTTTTCCTCCTCCTTCTCCTCCTCCTCCTAGATCTTCGAATCCTCCTCCAAATCATCTTCTCCTCTTCCACTGTTTATACTTCACCTCGACATGGCCAGGTGTAAGAAGAATGAGATGACCAGATTTTTTTAAACGTTTCCGACAAAATGTGCACCGATGGCAGCTCATATTGATGTAAGACTTATCACAGATAATTGTCCTGATAGACTGGCTGACTGGTCTATTGCTGAAGATAACTGAACTTTGGTTCACGCCGAAATTATTGCGCAGAGGGAGGGGGGGGGGAGAGAGAGAGAGAGAGAGCAGAGAGAGAAGAATTAGGAATTGGGCACGCAAGCCTTTCTGGCATTGTACCCTTCCGATCTCATGTCCTCCTCCTCCCCCCCCCCCTTTTCCCCCAGTAACTTAAATCTTATAATTAAATTCACCATTGGCAACAAGAATTTAGTTTAACCCAAGAACATTTGTCTCAAACATAAACAATTAAATTCGCATTCAAGCATAATGTGTGTACACAGACGCAAATAATTCTTCAAAGTCAGTTGCAAGCGTTAAATACACCATTAAAACAAAAGACGAACTTGCCGTCGAGCAATAATAATGCCCTTTTGAGAAAAAGAGGACATAATGTCCAAATTAGTTAGTTAGTTAGTCTTTCCTCTTGTGTCGAGTGCGGCACATAGGGCAGAGGTCATGACTCTCCATGCATGGCGGTTCGTTGCAATCTGTTGTAGGTCTTGGATGTTTGAGTGGCTCATGAGCGAGCCTTCCCTGATGATAGTTCTACGTAGGGTTTCCCTTGGTCTTCCACGATATCTTTTCCCCTGTGGTGTCCAAATGAGGGCTTGGTAAGGAAGTCTTGATTTATCCATTCTAAGGGCGTGGCCGACATAGTTCCAGCGGCGTTTTCGTATAAAGTTAGACACATACTCTTGCCTGGATTCTTGCCTTATTTGTGTATTGGTTCGGAAATCTGACCATTTGAAATTTAGTATTCTTCTAAGGCATTTATTTTCAAAACTGTCTAATTTTGTGTCTATAGTTTTCGTTGATTTCCAGCTCTCGCATCCTTAGGTTAGTACTGGAATCATACAAGAATTGAAGATCTTGAGTTTTGTGTGTTTGCTAAGTGTCTTTGATTTCCAGATGTTGGACAGTTTATTGAAGGCACTAGATGCCAGTGCTATTCTAAATGGTATTTCTGGTGCGGTATCTCCTGTAGATGACATCTTGCTCCCTAGATAAGTGAAACTGTTGACTTTTTCAAGGCTGTTGTTGTTCAGCGTGATATCAACTGAACTGTTGGTAAGGTCTAGAATTTTTGTTTTTGCGGTGTTAATTTGGAGTCCAATTTGTTCTGAGAAATTCTGGAGTCGATTGAATTTTTCTTGGGCGTCTGTGTGTTCTGAACTCAGGAGTGCTATGTCGTCGGTGAAGTCTAGGTCTTCCAGAATTTTGTCAACCCATGTAATGCCTAAATTTGCGTTATTTATGCACTTGCGCATGACCCAGTCGATTGCTATACCAAAAAGCATCGGCGATAGACACAGCCTTGCTTCACTCCTGTTTCCACCGGGAACCAGTCAGAATTGCCGGAATCAGTTCTTACACAGCATCGTGTTTCATTATAAAAAGATTTTATGATGTTGATATATTTGATGGGGAAACCATAGATGTTAAGCAATTTCCAGAGTGTTGGACGATGGATACTGTCGAAGGCTTTTTGGAAGTCGACAAAGTTGATCAATAATTTCGACTGGAATTCTGTAGAATCTTCAACAATTATTCTAAGAGTAAAGATGTGGTCTATGCATGACCGCTTGGATCTAAAACCGGCTTGTTCTTCCCTTAATCTTTCATCTATGGATTTTTTAAATCTATCTAGTAGCATACTACAAAATAGTTTCCCTGGTATCGAAAGCAGGGTGATGCCTCTCCAGTTGTTACAATCGGATAAATCACCTTTTTTAGGTAATTTGAAGATTACACCATCTTTCCATTGTTGTGGTGGGTATTCGTTTTGCCAAACTTCATCCATCAGCTGGAGCAAATGTTGCAGGGTGTTTTCATCCGCTGCTTTGAGCATTTCCCCTGAGATGTTGTCCTCTCCGGTAGCTTTGTTTATTCTTAATTTTTAATAGCTGTTTTAATCTCCTCTATTGTGAATGACTCGCTGGAGGCAACTAGTGTCGGTGTAATAATTTCTTCTTCTAGATTGGGAATGATATCAGGATTTGGTCTATTTAATATTTCCTTGAAATGTTCTGCCCATCGCTTTGTTTGTTGGTCGTCGGATAGCAGTAGTTTACCCTGCTTACCCATGTCCAAATGATAAACAATAAATTTGTGCTGAGAAAACAGTGCACCGCTGAGGAAAAGTTATCGCCTGTTGAAAACAGCCCCGCAGAGACAAGGTAATTCACAGATAAGAACATAAAATACACCGTTGAGAAAAAAATAACACTGCTGAGAGAATATACTACAAAGACAAGAAAACTCGCCGCTGAGAGAATGTACAGTTGTGACAAGATAACTCACCGCTGACTAAATGCACATGTGAGACCAGGTAACCCACTGCTCAGAAAATGCCCTGCAGAGACAAAGTAACTGACCCGTTGAGACAAGGTACCTCATATCTGTGAAACGGCACCGTTGAGACAAGGAAACTCATGGCTGAGAAAGTGCACTGGTGAGACAAGTTAACTGACCGCTTAGAAAATGCACCATTGAGACAAGGTAACTCATCGCTGAAAACAAGTAAGGCATGGAGGTAAACAATAGCTTAAGGATGTAAACACAATAATTCGTGGATGAATACGTTGAAGAACTTCCAATCAAGGTGGCGAGGCAGCTCAAACTGGAATTTCCGTTTTTGTGAGGCTGGCGTGGACGGTGGGTGGTAATAATTGTTATCGAGTAGATTTATTTACAAATATAACTATAATTTAATTAATTTGCAACTTGCGTTATTGAATGAATTATTATTGTAAAGATAAATAAATAGGTTGTTAGATAATATTTATCTTCAAAATTATAATTCAATAACACATGTTGCAAAATAATTAAAATGTAGTTCAATTTGTGTCTAAATCTACTCGATAACAATTGTTAACACCGACCAGCCACGCCAGCCTCACAAAAACGGAAATTCCCGTTTGAGCTTTACCGTCTTACATCTGGAGCTGGCCTTGGGCGAGGCAAGGGGATTTTTTTTTCGGACACCGTCTAAGAGTGGTCAGTTTCGGACATCCTAGAGTGGAAGTTGTGTTAAACTAGTCTGAATATTTAAGTGTGAAAACACTGTGACTGGTAAAGCAGGTGCTAAATTAGTGCTCGTAGAAAATTAAGAGATCTCACGAATCGAAGGTTCCATTCCAGATATCTCTTCCTTTCCTGACGCCGCAAGGCATTCATGAGTAGGGAAAAGAAGAATAAGAATACACTGAAGTGCCATAAACAAACAAACCTTGTATTTTCTCATCCGAGAATACGTGCTTCTTGGTTAGTTTCTTGGGTTTTCGTCTCTGAACCTTTTCAGATGCCTGAGTAAAAGAAGAAAGACAAGCTTTGTATTAGTACTGTCATTCATTGATTCATTCATTGATTCATTCATTGATTCATTCATTCATTCATTATCCTTTTGTGTCATTATATGTCACATAGGACTCGCATGCTATTCCTCAATTCCACTCTATCCGGTGCAGTCAGTTTAATATCATAGATGGAATCCAGTCCGGCAGCTTTGGCCTCTTTCTTCATCTAAGGGATCCCCGCCTCCTTAATCTTTTCCCCCACTTTTAATGCCTGTTTAGTTATTCTCTGCTGGTTTATCCTCAGGATGTGTCTAATGTAGCGATATCTTCTCTCTGTTATTACTGTTGACACCAGTGGCTGTCCAGACATTTCTTTTATTTCGTAACTCCTGTTGAGTTTATCCTACTTGAATATCATCATTTTTCTCAGACATTTATTTTCGAATGCATTTAACTTTCGTTCCATGTCTTTAGTGGTTCTCAAACATTCACTTTGCCCTAATTCGGTCTTCACTTGGTGCCTTCCAATTATTCATACTGCTTACTGCTGTTTTTATTTCTTTAAGGTGGATTGGCCCAAATCCCATTTCTAAATATTTATAAATCAGAAAATGAAGATAGAGGTGGACTGGACACGTCCTCAAAATAAAAATTTAAATTAAAAAAATAAAAAATAAAGATGATCGAGACATGCAATACAATGGATACAGCGAGGAAGAAGCAGGCTTAGAGACACTTGGAGGCAAACCTTTGAGGCTGAACTCAAGGCTACGCGAAGGACAAAACTAGAGATAGAGAGGATGGCTCAGGATTAAACTTAGTGGTCACAGTTTGTCTCTGCCTTATGTGCCTCTGGGGGCGATGAGGATTAATTGTTTGGAAACCACATGGTTACAGTAAAAAGAGTCAAACACAAAAAAGTATAGAATAACTAATCTCTGACCGAAATTATATACACAAATGGAGTCGGAAAGAGGTGTGGGCATGTAGTCGCCTACAAGGGATAGCAAAGGATTGGATGACTTTTCATCTAAAAAGGTTGTTTATAAAAATGCTGGGTTTTTAGTGTGGCCATAATATCTCACCTGTCTATGTGTTTGTGATATAAAGATCAAACAGCTTTAAATGTATATGGCGATGAACTAGCAAGAAAATCAAAATTTTGAGAGCATGCATCATCCGTGTAGCAACAAATAGATGTGAGTCGTGGACTTTCCCTCCCTCCCCCCCCCCCCCCCATAAGGGGCTTTTATGCTGAAATGCTACAGAAAACCATGGATACAAAAAAAAAAAAGACAAGAAATACTGACATTTTAAGAGATCTGAACATCAAGGAAGACTGACTAAAAAAAAGAACATCTAGTCTCGGAAGCGAAATATTTTGGTCATATCAAGCCCCATGACGGACTGGAAAAAATTATAACAGAAGGCATGTTACCAGGGAGGAGGGGCAGAGGTCGACTAACACGAAGCTGTGCACAGGATATAAGTGACTCCTTGAGTATGAAAGTACAAAAGGCGGGAGAGCTGGCGAGAAACCGAGTTTCTTTCAGGCAGACCGTGATGAAAGCGACGTTCTGCAAAGGACCTGCTACCTGATGATGATGACGCGGTGGTATTTTCAAAATTTGTATTAGCCCCTCCTGAAAAACGACATATTCTTCTGTATAGTCACATATCCAGGGACGCAGTTCAAATTGAGTTCTTATCTCTTTCATGATGGCCAGCCGTATTCTCTGTGGGTAATTTTACCAGTTTAACTTAGTCTTCTTCTTCTTCTTCTTCTTCTTCTTCTTCTTCTTCTTCTTCTTCTTCTTCTTCTTCTTCTTCTTCTTCTTCTTCTTCTTCTTCTTCTTCTTCTTCTTCTTCTTCTTCTTCTTCCTTCTTCTTCTTCTTCGATCCTTCTGTCAGAAAACTTATATCAGGAGGCCGATAGCCTTTTTAGAAGCTATCGTGCAATCCATATCCTCTCGTGTACCATACAGTTTTGTCTTCATTGTGGTTGCAACAGGCCAGATTGCGTCTCTGTTGTCAGCATACAGTTGACAGTGTTGGAGCACATGCTCAGCATTTTCGGGTGCCACGCTGCAGGGACACGTCTCCGTATTTCCTACACCGAAAACATTGTTGCAGAAGATGCAACACTTCGCTTCTCAAACACTTTTTTGTAAACACCTGCCGTGCTAACATTGTGTCTTGTTGTTCATCCATCACTATGGAAACGAAAACCCTTGTGTAAATATTCCAACCGCTTATCTGCCCCTGCTTGCCACTTGCACGACACAAACAGACATAACATGTAGTATCTGACGTACACATCAGTGGCAACGCCTTGAGAATATGTGGCAGAATCTGGACTCAAACCTGGCACGGAGAAGAGGGGGAGTAAACTAGGTTCAAGAACTAACATCAATGCACTCGGCACATTCCTGTGTGTGCTTCGTCTCCTTAATCAACAGCCAAAGAAAGGGTTAGAGGCAAGTGATGAAATGTTAGTTGTGTATCTTTTACAGGACGTTGCTAAACCAACCCCAGCGTTTTTTGGCAGTTGTGGCTTTTCTAGGCAAATTTATGGACAGGTCACGGGTAGTGAGCATACTTTGGATCTTTTCTTCAGGCCATGCCGGCGTGGTGGGTAATGAACAGGCAGATAGGTTGACTGGATCCGCACCACTGGGTGATGAATTGATACATGAAAAGGCAGATGTGGTCACGGCCCTTTGGGAACAAGCAACGGAATCAGTAGAGAAGGAAGATTATTATGGCCTGGAGAGAATGAGGCACCTTGGTGTAACCAGAGGGTCTGGCCGGCTCACTACACTCAGAGGACAGACAAGACGGACTTTTAACCAGATTGTGACCGGTACCATCAGTATTGGAACTCTGTGCTGACTCAACAGCTCAAATCATTTATATCTAGTGGTTTGCCAATGCTTTCTAGACGTCAGCTTCTCGATACCACTGTCGAAACCAAGGCAATGCGCAAGGCCCGCAGCTGGGATCGAACCCTGCACCCCGGCATTGCGAAACGCGTTCGCCACACCTAAGCCACAGACGCTGACTTGTTGCAGACTGTTAAAAGTTCGTCTAAGCATTGAGTTTCCTTGGGACACATCTGTTTATTCACTTTTGAATATAATTTTTCTAGATGTGGATTACAGGAGCGTCCACACACACACACACACACACACACACACAATTCTGGGAAAGAAGGTGAGTGAGGGGCCTCAACCACTTATAAGTTTCGGGGGAGGTGGGTTGGCTCAAGCAGCCGAAGTCTTATTGAAGTGGCTGGTAATGATAATGGCAAAAACAATAATAATAAATAATAATAATAACAACAATGTAACGTAGTTTTCAATGGAATCAGGGGGTGGTTGGCAAAATCCTGAGAAGGGCAAGTAGCCTTTTGACCTGGAAAAACTTGCTTCGATCAAATAAATATCATGAGACCCATGTTAAAGGAATTTGTAGAAAACAACCTCTGATTTGGAATTTCTTCAATGTTTAGAAGGCATTTGAAACTTTACAAGAGACATCACTGTGAGGAACATTTTTAAGGCTATGGTATTGCCAACAAAATTAATAAACATCAGCAAAGTAATGTCTGAAGGCTCAGAGTGTGCAGTGCGAACAGATGACAACATAAACCTCCACCAGTTAATTGATTTATGATGCTATTTGTTACTATATAGCCTATGGCATTCTCGATAGTAAAGTAAAGTATGAATGAAAGAATCAGAGTTGACATCGCTGCACTCGGGACATTCCCATAGGTGCTCAGTCCCCTTCTTTAGTAACCAACGTAAAGTTGACTTGCTAATAGTGCCAGTTGCAACCTAATTAAACGTCCGCCTCTGTTTCCTCTTCAGCTGAATATCTCCCAGTACCCCTTTCCCACCCCTTCCCCCACCCCGTCGAATCCGTTTTTTAGTGTGGGATTCCCTGTCTGTTCATTTGCACTGTCTATATGATCCCATATAATTTTCACCAGATCCGTTGTATCATATATTAGCTCACAGCACAGGGAAGCGGCAGCAATGAATCTATCAGCCTGCTAGTTACCTCGCACACCTAAAAACAACGTAAAGGTGCACATACACGCCAATGGCGCTTTGCGCATATAAGTCAAGACATATCTATATAGACTAATCAGCCTTTGATAGTGGATGTAGTCAAAATCACGCCGACTGCCTTTACTTTCAATGTCTTCGCCTGGTTCACGTTTAATGATAGGTCGACATGGGAGCACAGGTCGTGTCTGAAACAAATCCGGCTCCATTTGACTCCACGACCGCATCCACATGCGAGCGTCTCAACCCTCGATCATTACAATCCAAGCTCCACCACAATAATGAACGTTTTACATGCTACTTAAAGAACATTTAAAAAGATTTGTGAAACTTTTGTCTAGGAATTTTACAGGGTATGACCTAAGGTTATGATATATATATATATATATATATATCTGTGTGTGTGTGTGTGCTCGCGCGCGTGTGTGTGTGCTCGCGTGTGTGTGTGTGTGTGTGGTCTGATCGTAGATTCAAACCAACCTTACTGCAGTAATGTCTACAAAAAAAAAAAAATTTAAACCATCGCAGTAGTCGTTTACTTGTAAAAATAAACCAAAACTCACGCAGTAACTGTGCACATCCGCACTCAACAAATAGCAGCGCAATAGTTATATATCTTTAAAGTAAACCCACATCACGGGAGAATAGATAGTGAAATAGAAACAAGATGCCAATGATCCAGTGCACTTATATACCAACTGACACCGTTATTAAGATGTCGAACCATAAGTCTTAGCGCTAGGAAACAACAGCATGTTAAAACCAACACTGTGCTATCAGACTTGGACATTATCAAAGGCTAACCTACAAAAAATTAACACCTGTGAAATTAAATGCCTGAGAAAAGCCGCCAACTTAACCATCCAAGACAAAATTAGAAATAATATTTTCAGACTACGTGTACAACGCCATGCGGCACATAAACTAAGAAACATAAGATCAAATGGTTTGGTCACTGAGTAAGATTGTACCCAGACCAACTTCCAACGCAGGCGCTACACATGAGAAGATCTGAAGTGAAAGCAAGCCCTAGGAGAACATGGATTGATGATATTAAAGAGATTCTACATGGACACGGACCGACAACAGTCATTGCTGCCCATCAAGCTATGGATTGCAAACTGCTCCTCTCCATAAAGCTTAACGGCAGAAGGGGAAACGATGATGATGATGACGATGAAACCCACATCAGCGCTGTAGACAGACCATATAATTTCGCACCCAAATCAGGCTAACACAAAACGACCGCTTGAAAGGTGCACTACCTCGTTTCACCACAAGCATATCCTAGATGCCCTTTGTGTAGCCTCTTTTGAGGAACAAATCCCATACCAACGTTCAAATAGAATCCAGATGCTTAGTGGCGGAGGCGAGTGTTTGGATAACATCCTATAGATCTATCTACTTAATTAACAATCTACCCACCATTACGGCAATATAGATTTCGTTTCATCATTGTTTCAAATCGTTTCCAAATGGTCATAACCTAGGAAACTGCGTCTCTACACCAATAATTCCTTTCTTTCTTCCTCTTTTTATGATCAAGCTCATCATCACTACCACCACTATCAACAGTATAAATAGATACATAGGTAGATTAAACAGACAGACAGACAGACAGACAGACAGACAGACAGACAGACAGACAGACAGACAGACAGACAGACAGACAGACAGACAGACAGACAGACAGACAGACAGACAGACAGACAGACAGACAGACAGACAGACAGACAGACAGACAGACAGACAGACAGACAGACAGACAGACAGACAGACAGACAGACAGACAGACAGACAGACAGACAGATAGATAGATAGATAGATAGATAGATAGATAGATAGATAGATAGATAGATAGATAGATAGATAGATAGATAGATAGATAGATAGATAGATAGATAGATAGATAGATAGATAGATAGATAGATAGATAGATAGATAGATAGATAGATAGATAGATAGATAGATAGATAGATAGATAGATAGATAGATAGATAGA